CCACAATCACATCCTTCTATAATATTCTAATTGAGCGCAGCCTCTTCATTAAGCTAAGATGAATATTCAATAGCGAATATCCAAAGCATCCCCAGCCTCAGCATGATAGCCGTCCATCCAGTACAGATTAAATTAGGGGACATAATAGTTCCCCCATCTGCCTGTTAACTCCTTCCTTTAACAGAGCTACAGATGACAAACAAATCTCAGAAGCGACTGGAAGAGTTCTATTAGCACTATCGCGTCTATCAGCACATACTAAGTGCTAATGTTTTAAACTTTTGACTTACGACTTTACCGAACTTCCGAACTCTGATTTTAGATATCTTGAGAGCAGGAAGCCTGAAATGGCAGAATATGAGCTGATTAAAAAATCTGCTCGCTATATTGCGAAGTCGCTAATGATAAACATTCACTTTCAATGGAGAACTTTCATTGTTCATTGTTGTTTCATTGTCATTTTTCCATCATTGGCAAATTTAGTGTGATCTGCCGATACCAATTTTTGCCGATTCCGATTTTCTTTCTAAGAACTATAATTGACAGCATATACAAACAAAAATCTACTTTTCTTCAACACAAAGTTTTATTTTCATAAAAAAACACAAGTAAAAAGTCAGTAATAAAATAAGAACAAATAAAAAAAATTGCAAACAACAGCACAAATAAATGCAATAGAATAAAGAGAGCTATGAAACTAAGTTTTTCAGGTTAAGTAAGTTTTTATTCAGTTAAGAAATACTACAGAAATTAAAGTAATCAAATGTAAAATAACACATCCAGTGTTATTTTACATTTGATTACTTTAATTTCTGTAGTCTTCATTGTAAAAATTAAATACAGATTAATGCTTACCATTAAAGTTATAAAACGTATTCAGTCAAGAGCAGAAAATTATTTTCTTTGTCTTTTGCTCTTTGATTAACATGACAGACAGCAGCATGAATATTGGACTGCGGTTCCTTCAAGAGTTTATCCACGGACCCAATATACTGTTACTGAAGACGGCATTTTAACAATTTTGTATGTATTTGAACGTTTTAGCGCAGTTAGCCACTCATTTTGGTATTTGTGGCTCACAAGCTGTTTGAGACTGAGCGTGGCTTGTGCGCTCCACTAATATAGATCAGTGGTGGTGCGCGCACGTTTGGTATAAGCGTGAAACCTGCGGGAATGACTAAAATAATGTGCAATACAAGCACTATTTAACCGGAGCGAATGAGACGTGTGTGAGAGAGAAGGGGTCGTCGGAGAGAAGAGAACGAGAATGCGCGGCTGATGTTATTGCCTGTGCCGCTGGTAACGAAACGGATCGGCTCGAAATCTGAAAGAAGTGAGACTGACCGGCCGATAACCGATCCGGGCCGATCATGAGGAAAATCGGTCGATTCCGATCCCTGGCCGATCGATCGGTGCATCTCTACTAAGTAGTATGTTTGGGGAAAAAAATTCAAAATGATGTACACCACGAAATGAAGACAGCAGTTATATCAGCAAGCCAAACAAAAAAAAAATCTGTTTTGTTGAACAAGGAGCAGGTCACCTGATGGAGGCAGACATTTTGAAATCACATGACCAGCTGAACTTTTGCATCTTGGTAAATGCATAAAATTGGTCGCTTCTGCTCACAGAATAAATTATTTATGTCTCATTGCAAATGGCACATTTATGCAATGGCATCAGTAACTGAAAACTTTAGATGCTACATCCACACCACTAGGTGTAAGTAGGAGTTCAAGACGACAACCAGCATGGTCAGCGCAGCGTAAATGAAAAATTACTTAGTGTACCTTAAAGCGAATAAAAAGTTCAAGTTCAGCTTCACATGATGAAACTGGTTTAGCATACACTCAAAAAATGTTTAACCAATATAAAACACTTTAAATTAGCTTCTTTGTTGATATTTGTTCTAAAAAAAATGTTAGCATTTAGTTTTTTTACACATTAGTTTTTGTCCAAACATCAAACAACAAAGCGCTATATGGTTGTAATTCAGATAAACCAACATAGAAACATCCCACATTCAATGCAGCATGAGTGCTGCCATTCGCAAATGCCCCAAGGATATAACAGTACGCAATGCCAGATCAAAATGGGATGTAATTGCGCACATTAGTAAATTATACATCACCTCTAGGCATTATGAGGAAATTTGGCTCTTTAACCATAAAATTGAGCAGTCTGGCCCTCTTACAGTAGATTTCCATCTTATTATCTCCATTATATCAACAATGTCACGTATGACTTATGTAGAGGAAGCAGTGCTGGATAGTGTAGTAAAATTAAGCCATATTTTGGTAGCCTTGTTCTCATAATCAGAGGTGGAATTTGTTATATGTGGTGGCAATCACCATCTCAAATATGATAATTTCCTTTACAACCTCAAAATGTTCTGTTTCTATACTGATATAACCTGTTCTTGTCCCAAAAAAGCCAAATTCGCCATCAAATATCTGTAGCAGCTCACCAATGGATCCAGTGAATGGGTGCCATCAGAATGAGAGTCCAAACAGCTGATAAAAACACCACAATAATCCACAGAAATTGAGAGAAAGCAATATTATGGACTTGTACTTTAGCCAGAAGCAATGATTTGAAGTTAAAAACGTCTTGATGGCTTTGTTTCTTATAAACACACAGCTTTTCACTTCACAAGTCAACTGATGGACTGGAGTGGTGTGGATTACTTGTGGATTATTGTGATGTTTTTATCAGCTGTTTGGACTCTCATTCCCATTCACTGCAGAGATGTAATGCTACATTTCTCCAAATCTGATGAAGCAACAAACTCATCTTTATCTTGGATGGCCTGATGGTGAGTACATTTTGCAAATTTTCATTTTTGACTGAATTATTCCTTTAATATAAAAGCAGAATTAATATCAAACCACTATTGATTCAACATGTTTTCTACAGTAAATTAGAGATGAGGAGGAAAAATGGCCTCCATTGATGTGATCTGTGCGGTGCATTAGCAGGCTGTGGGGTTAGCATCACATTCAACATGCCCATTGCATCACAAAGACCCATTCACACAGAGCCAGCGTGAATAGCCGGTTTTCAATGGCGTGCCAGAATCTCAGGGGGTCGGTCTTTTGGAGAACATCCATGAGTTACCACCTTCTGCTGGGTCGGAATGTAAAACTCCCATCCTTTTGACAGATCTGCTTTCCTAGATGACAAATAGTTGGTCTGTTCCTATCGGTTTATAATTCTGTAGCTCTTAAAATATAATCGTTAAAACTAAAGCAGATGTCGGATGACAGTTCTGACAAATGGGCCGTATCTAAGGTTATATGACTCCCTGGGGAGAAATGTTAAGTTTGACTTTGCTTTTCTGTTACTTGCAAATAAGATGCAATGGCACTGCATTTTCATTTTCATCTCTTCATCTTTAATATGTGTGATTTTTCAGTTAGGGACACTTTTGACAACTAAAAACCTTGAAAAGTAAAACTTTAAACCTGATAAATTGTAAGTGTATTTTTGGTATATTTTGTGGTCGTAACAATGTTATTTCAGCATTATTTATATTTTCAGTTTGATTTTAATTTTGGATAAAAGATTTTTTCAATCACCTTTGAATTCAAAATGTATAAATGTATGTACATATTTATTTTCAGACATTAAAATCATGAAATATTTAACCAACAACTGTTAACACTGACTGGTTTGTTAATGACATATATTTTTAATAAATGTAAAACTATAAAAAATGTCATGCAGATTAATGTTCTCTTATATATTACATTTGAAATATCATGTTTTAAAATTGCATTTTCAAAATACCTAAATATAAGAAAAATGCAATTGTTCTCTGAAATGCTTTTTAAATTGTTATACAAATTGTAAAACTGTATTTTAGCCAATTTAGTGTTTGCACACTCTTAAAACTTAGAGAAAACTCATTAAAGACAGTCAATTAAAAACTTTGACACTATTTTTCCTCAAATAAAATCTTTCTTTAAAACCATTCTTAGAGACAGAAAAGTTGCACTAATTAAAGAATCTCCCATATATGAGTAATTAAAGTTTGAGGCAACTAAAAAGGCTTCAAATCACTAACGCCACAACAAAAAAGCCAGCAAATAGCATCTTCCAAAAATGTACTAGTGAAGGTTGCCATTTTGCATCGTGACTCACACGAGCACAGAAAGTGAACCACCAGGACTGAGTCTAGTTCCACAACAATGCATCTTATTAATCTGCATTTATCTGACCGATGTGACAGCTAGATTGCACATGACCAATCACACACCCGCATAAATGCTGCTCTCTCTGAAAATGGTGACTCATCAGGGCCTTATGAGACCAATAATTCAAATTCCCAATTTATTGCAGCAATGTTTCCTTCTTTTATAATCCTTACAAGCCTTTTTCGTTCTGTTGAAGGTATATCAATAACCTCTGTGTTTGAATTTGCTTCTGTGTGTACATGAAGCTTGTCTGGATCTGTCAGGCTCAGTACGGGAGCTGCGAAATGCACTGGCATTTCACGCACTGCCGTGACGCTTTCGGGGGAAACGGTGACCAATGCAACATGCTGACTTGTTCATTTGTTGAATGAACACGCTGTCCATTTGTTCCAGAAGCTTATGTTCTCTCAGAAGATGATTTTGGTGTGGATGATGAGTGTTAGACCTCAATATTAGATGGTTTCCACCTGTTGGAAACGCACCGCTCGTATCGCCCCCTGTCGGTCGAGTTTATAGCGTTAACACCAGCAGTGTGTACCACTGTAGCATCACGTTAGTATTCAACAGTCGTGCAGAACGATTTACAAGATGAATTCAACACATTTTGTGGTAATAGCCTGGTAAAAGTGTTAAATTCATAAAACGGGTCATGCATTTTTCATCAGCATTAACATTGCGTGGTAACGGCATCTAGTTTTATATATCCTCATTGCTTAAAATGATTCATAAGCCACATAAAACACCTGAAATTAGTTTAGGTTAGCTTAATTTGTATATTTATATCAATAAACATTTTCAACTCACCCACTCCGATTTTCTCGTCCTCGGTCGGTGTCCACATGATCCCGGTAAAATAACCAAGATATTAGAAGAGTTAAATGTCATGTACGATGACACATTCAAGTTGAAGCAGACGTGTCAGACGGGTTTATCTCACAGCCGTGTGTTTCCTCAAACAATCGACACGCTTCACGCGTCAGCTCAGGTTTCCCATCCGTGCGCGTCTGGATCTCCCGTTATGGATGCGGCGGCGCAGCAGCATCTGAGGATGGAGACGGTCGATTATTTATTTCATTGACTCGGTCAGTCGTGATTTAACGCCGGAAACCGACAAAACAGCGCGAGGACAAGCTAACCTTGAGCGTTTCTCGAGTCACGTGCGCACGCGGCGCTCTTTTACGCGTCCTCGATACGATTTTCCGTGATTTTACGGGGTGAACGGGGAGCCTCTTCAGCGCCGGTGCTGCGCCATCTTCATCTCTCCGTCCGTCCGCCGTCACATGACGCAGATTGTCGCTCTTTAACGGGACACGCGCTTTGCCGTAGCGGTAAACGCTCAACAGAGCGCGCGCTGGGTTCGTGTTTGAGTTGTTAGGATGGGGCATGTTTTAAAACAGTTGACAGGCGCTTCACATTAGCTTTCATGCTGCAGTGTATACATGGTTAAGCACTAAAACAAACAAACAATATGTATGGTAAAACAGAAATGTGCTAGTCTTTCAGTTATAGGTAGCCTAGTCTTCTGTAAAATTATAATAAATAATTAATAGCCTACGCAAATTTTCTGAAAGTGTAAGGCTTCATCAATCTTTCTGTCGTTTGGTTTAATTAATTATTTATTTATGTAATTAAATTATTTATTTTTTTCGATTGTTTGATTGTTTGATTGTTTGTTTGATTGTTTGATTGATTGATTGATTGATTGATTGATTGATTGATTGATTGATTGTTTGTTTGTTTTATTGTTTGTTTGATTGATTGATTGATTGTTTGTTTGTTTTATTGTTTGTTTGATTGATTGATTGATTGTTTGTTTGTTTGTTTGTTTTATTGTTTGTTTGATTGATTGATTGATTGCACGCGCTTTGCCGTAGCGGTAAACGCTCAACAGAGCGCGCGCGGGGTTCGTGTTTGAGTTGTTAGGATGGGGCATGTTTTAAAACAGTTGACAGGCGCTTCACATTAGCTTTCATGCTGCAGTGTATACATGGTTAAGCACTAAAACAAACAAACAATATGTATGGTAAAACAGAAATGTGCTAGTCTTTCAGTTATAGGTAGCCTAGTCTTCTGTAAAATTATAATAAATAATTAATAGCCTACGCAAATTTTCTGAAAGTGTAAGAGGCTTCATCAATCTTTCTGTCGTTTGGTTTAATTAATTATTTATTTATGTAATTAAATTATTTATTTTTTTCGATTGTTTGATTGTTTGTTTGTTTGTTTGATTGTTTGATTGATTGATTGATTGATTGATTGATTGATTGATTGATTGATTGTTTGTTTGTTTTATTGTTTGTTTGATTGATTGATTGATTGTTTGTTTGTTTTATTGTTTGTTTGATTGATTGATTGATTGATTATTTGTTTGTTTTATTGTTTGTTTGATTGATTGATTGATTGTTTGTTTGTTTTATTGTTTGTTTGATTGATTGATTGATTGTTTGTTTGTTTGTTTGTTTTATTGTTTGTTTGATTGATTGATTGATTGTTTGTTTGTTTGTTTGTTTTATTGTTTGTTTGATTGATTGATTGATTGTTTGTTTGTTTGTTTGTTTTATTGTTTGTTTGATTGATTGATTGATTGTTTGTTTGTTTGTTTGTTTTATTGTTTGTTTGATTGATTGATTGATTGTTTGTTTGTTTTATTGTTTGTTTGATTGATTGATTGATTGTTTGTTTGTTTTATTGTTTGTTTGTTTGATTGATTGTTTGATTGTTTGTTTGTTTGTTTTATTGTTTGTTTGTTTGATTGATTGATTGATTGATTGTTTGTTTGTTTTATTGTTTGTTTGTTTGATTGATTGTTTGATTGATTGTTTGTTTGTTTTTGTTTAAACGTAAGTACCACAGAAATGGTAAAAGCAACGCTCCCAAACGCTCTCTTGTTATGAAAAAAGGCGCAAGTTAAGGATATTGTGCGGTCAGCGAGAGATAAAACTAAATTGGACAAACAAACAGAGTTTTTGACCTCATATCTGAGAGGATTAAATTTAGCAGCGGGAGTGACCCAAATTAGTTTGGTAAAAAAAAAAATAATAATACTTAAAAGACTCAATTTAATACCGTATATCGCTACAACACGTTACCTGTACAAAGAAGGTATTTAAAATACGGTTTTCAGTGCAGTGTAAACGCAGCAAAATCCGTAGTCACTTTGGGATTTTAAGGTAAATTATAGTTTAAGAGTCATATTTTGTATGATGTGTCATTTATGGGGGGTTAGACTGAGACTGTCTGAATGTGGGTTACCAGCCATCTGACAAAAGGCTTACAATGTCCCTGTGGCTTAGTGGTAGAGCATTGCGTTAGTAGCACAAAAGGTTGTGGGTTCAATTCCCAGGGGACACACTTACTGGTACAAAATGTATAGCCTGAATGCACTGTAAATCCTAATGGATAAAAATGCCTGCTAAATGCATAAGTTATTAAATTAATTATAATTCTTAATCTGATTATAATTTTCTGGGCATAATTACGTTGCCAGGCCATATTGTCTTTCTGCAGCGGTAAGTGTGCCAGGGGAGCTTTCGCGCTACTCGTTTACCATAACGATTTCAGTTCATGTTGATGGATAAAAGGCAGCGGAGTGTATAAAAACCTGCTCAAGACAGCACTTACACTCTTCTTTAAGCCCTCAGAGGTTATATTAGAAGGCAAACCTCTCGCTTTGCTTATTCTTGTGCCGTTTTTCTTCATTCTTCTTTACAGACTTCTACAGTGTATCCAGGAGATTCGAACTCATTCTGTCCTGAAGAAAGAAACCGATGATGGTCCTGCAGAGGAATATGAGCAGGATATGAGCAGGTGACGGGAGACACGGGGAATCAAGCGCTCTCACTGCCCTTCCCATCTCATTTACTCAAGCATTCATTTAGAAATGACAGAGTCCAGTAGTGAGTGTACTGTGTAGGCATATTCTTATTATGTGAAAGTTTCTCACATAAATGTGCATTTTAACGTCGGCATAAAACACAGCATCTTTGAAATCTAACATTTAAAAAAATAATTCACATTTGTGTCAGAGGTATTTCCCCCCCCCAATAATTATACATGATAAACAAGATATAAACATTAAGCAATAACCATTAAATGTTAATTATAAGCATATATGTATATTATATATAAACATATATGTATTGTATAATATTTATATAATAAACATAAACAAAATATATAAATTATATTATAATTTATATTATATATTTATATTCCATTATCTA